AGGCGGTGATGGGGAGGGGATTGGTGGCAGGGCTGCCTACGTCGATCAAGGGGTGGCGGCCACGGTGGTTCTACGTGTCTGCCAATGGGGGACTGGGAGTGCGTACCATCTGGAAGGTGCCAACCCGGTCGATGGAGTCGAGACTGGGGACGGTGGCGGAAGAGAGGGTGAAGAGAGTGAAGGAGTGGAAAGAGAGAGAGAAGGCCAAATGGGACGATCTTGTCCAGCCGTCTGCACTGTTTGAGGCGGGGCTGGGACCGCAGCCGAAAGGTGGAGACCTCGGCCGAGCGGAGTTGGAGGAGAGGAGAAGAGCGCAGGAGGTAGAGGATCGAGCCGTTATGGCCAAGGCCGCGAAGTTGATGGAGGCGCAGAGGGACCGACCGCCTCAACCGATCGCGCGGGAGAGGATCCGATCGTGCCCTAGGCCGTTGGGGGAAAAAGACTTAAGCAGCTTTGAGCTGCGGCCGCCGCCTGTAGACCCTGTAAAAGAACAGGCCAGAAAGGGGGTGGAGGCTCTAAAAAAGAAGAAGAAGAAGAAGAGGAGTGCCCTAGAGGAAGCTGCAGAGGAGTGTGGGGCCAAGAGGGCGAAGGTGGCCCCAACGGGGGTGGAGGTCCCTGTGGCAAAGGACGCCCCGGAGGTGGTGGAGATCATCCCAACGGTGGAGGTTGTGGAGATTGCTCCATCAGTGCAAGTGGAGGCTGGGGTGAGTGAGGCGGCGCCGAGCGGAAGGGAACAGGTCCAGAAGAGGCCTGACCCCCAGGAAGGAGGGGTTCGTCTGGCTACGGCGATTTATCATGCGCGCGCGGTAGCTGGAAGGTTGGAGGGAGAAGAAGGCCCAGCCAGGGCGGGGGCAGACCGCCTGGTGAAGATTGTGGAGGAGACAGCTCTGCGCGCGGCATCTGGGTATAATGAGGCCGACCTGCTGAGGGGCTTATGCTCCGCCCAAATGGAGGTAACTACCTTGGCAGGGGCCCTTCTTAGGAAGGCTGAGGAGGCCAGGGCCCAGTTGGCCAAATTAAGGAAGGACAGTGCCGACTGGAAGACTGCCCATGCCGATCTGCCAGCAGTCAAGTTGGAACTGGAGGACACGCGCCGTAAGGTTGTGTCGCTTGAGTTCCAACTGGCTGGTGAACAGAAAAAGTTGGAAGAGTCTGAGAGGGCCTGCGCCGTGGCAATCGAGCGGCACGAAGAGGCTATGACCAGCAATGAAGAGCTGGTCAGGCAAAAGGATGAAGCGGACTTCAGAATTGGAGATCTGTTGAAGGAGTTGGGGGAGGAGCGTGCCAGAGCAGAGGAGGAGAAGGGGAGGCTTCTGAGGGAGTGGGAGATGGAGAAGGCGAAGGCGGCGGCGGAGCTGGAGAGTCTGAGGAAGGGGGTGGAAGAGGAGAGGGCGACGGCGGCTGCTGAAAGGGGGGCCCTGCAAAGGGAGCTGGACGAGGAGAGGGCGAAGGCGGCGTCTGAGAAGGAGGCCTACCCTGATCTGTGCGTTGCAGCAGTGGAGCAATATAAAGGGTCCCCCGAATTTCAGATGGTGGTGGATGCTGCTGTCGCCAGGAGTCTGGCTGGTCAAGAGTCTGGGGGGGGGGGCCCATCAAGGAAGACTGCTGGAGGTAGGACAGAGGCAGAGGTGATTGAAAGCTTCCAGCAGTCAGACTTCTATAAGCACGAAATGGCCAAGTTCTGGGACAGCGGTTGGAAAATGTTCAAGCGCAGAGCTGAAGAGCTGTTCCCACACTTGGACCTTAGTAGTGTGACAATAGGTGAAGATGATGTGGCCCAGACCCCCCTGGACGAAGGCGTTGAAGAAGAGGATCTGGCATCTAGCGAGGAGGAGTAGCAAAGGAGAAGAAAAACTAGGCGTGCTCTGTGTTTGTTTTTTTTTTTTTTTGTTAAACTTGTAAACACATTGTAAAGGAATGAGTGAATGAATGAAGGTATGGAGAATTTAACTGTAATGAAGTTGTGTACGAAGATTATTTAATTGTAATGGATGAATGTATAGCTAGTTGAATTTTGTGTATTTTGCTTATGTTGCCAGCATGAATGAAATGTTGTGATTAAAACTGGTCATAAAGATGGGGTCAATAAAAATATCGTGCAACGTGAAAGTTAAAAGTTCCTCCCTGCGGAGTGCGATTGGAGTTGTATGAAAATTGAAAAGATAATAGAAAAATTGGAGTAAGAGGCAGGTTGTAAATTGTAACTAAATAGTTGGCAAATAATCTGATCAGTAAATGAAATACGTGAGAGTATGTGGAGAATTTAACTAGGTAAAGACGTGGTCCTGGAACTGTGAAGAAGCTTCAGAATGTGACTAAGTGTTGAAAATGTGGTTCTGCTTGGCGTTGAAGTGCTCAGTCAGGCTGAGGCTGTCGAAATGCTTGGTCTGGCCGAGGCTTTTGAAGTGCTCAGTCTGGCTGAGGCCTTTGAAGTGCTCGGTCTGCCGAGGCTTTGAAGTGCTCAGCCTGGCTGAGGCCTTTGAAGTGCTCAGTCTGGCTGAGGCTTTGAAGTGCTCGGTCTGGCCGAGGCTTTTGAAGTGCTCGGTCTGGCCGAGGCTTTGAAGTGCTCGGTCTGTCCGAGGCTTTTGAAGTGCTCGGTCTGGCCGAGGATTTTGAAGTGCTCAGTCTGGCTGAGGCTTTGAAGTGCTCGGTCTGGCCGAGGCTTTCGAAGTGCTGCAAGTGAAAAAGTTATGGGAGCGACATAGAGACAGTTGAATTATGAAAGCCGAAATGACCAGGCGGAGTTTGCATTATGTATAAAAAAGGGAAATACAACGATATTGTCAATACAAAAGTACGAATTATTGATAGTAACGCTTCAAATGTTCCGCATTCCAGGGATGGGGCAGGTCTCGGCCTTCCATGTCTTGAAGTCGGTAAGTGCCTGTCGTGGTTGGGTTTTCACAACGTAGGGTCCCTCCCATTTGGCTGCCAGTTTGCCCTCGGTTGGATTCTTTGTGGCAGGAGTCACTTCTCGTAAGACAAGGTCCCCTACGGAGAACTCTCGTGGTCGGACTCGGCGGTTGTAGTGTGTTCTCATTTTCTGCTGGTATGAAGCCAATCTGACAGCAGCGGTCTCTCTGAGCTCTTCGACGAGGTCCAAGTCTGTCCGATGGAGTTCTTCGGCTGCGGCCAGGTCCAGATGTAAAACCCTGGGAGTAGGCAAACCGACTTCTACCGGAATAACTGCCTCAGCGCCATATGTTAAGCGAAAAGGGGTTTCTCCAGTGGGAGTGCGAGTAGTGGTTCGGTAAGCCCAGAGTACGTTTGGTAGTTCCTCAGCCCAAAGGCCTTTAGCAGCTTCGAGCTTGGTTTTGATGATTTTCAGGAGGGAACAGTTGGTGACCTCAACTTGGCCGTTTGCTTGAGGGTGACCGGGTGAGGAGAAACATGGTTGAATCTGGAGGTCGGCACAAAATTTTATGTACTTTGCGTTATCGAATTGTTTGCCATTGTCAGAGATGATGGCCTGAGGGATGCCGAATCGGCAAATGATCGATTGCCAGATAAACCTGGTGGTGTTCCGCTCGGTGATTGTGGCAAGGGGTTCAGCCTCGACCCACTTGGTAAAGTAATCAATGGCAACAATCGCGAACTTGGTCTGGCCTCGACCGGTGGGAAGTGGACCAACCAGGTCGATCCCCCACTTGGCAAACGGATAGAGGCTGTAGAGTGTGATTAGCTCTGTAGGGGGGGCATGGGGGATGTTGGCAAAGCGTTGACATTTGTCGCATTTGAGTACGAAGTCGGTCGCATCCTGATTAAGAGTTGGCCAAAAATACCCCGTACGGAGTATCTTCTGGACAAGGGACCTGCCACCTGAGTGATTACCACAAATTCCTTTATGGATCTCCTGCATTACATAAGTTGCTTGGGCGGGGTTGAGGCACCGTAGATACGGCCGGGAGAAACCGCGCTTGTACAATATACCGTCCAGAATGACGTAATTGGACGCTCGGGATCGGACTTTGGCAGCCTGCTGCTGGTCATCTGGGAGGGCTCCTGTGGTCAAGAATAGGAGAATGTCGGATGCCCAAGGGATGGGTTCGTTTTGGATGTATTGTACAGCTTGCAGATCGGGTGAAATGGCTGGGTGGTGTAGATATTCAACGCGGACATCATGGCTGAGAGTAGGATGGTCAGCAGAAGCCAATTGAGCCATCTCATCTGCTTTAGAGTTTTCCGCCCGAGGAATGTGCCTGATGTGGAAAGTATTGAAGAGGCGAGCAAGAGGGAGTGCCAGATCTCTGTAAGCTCGCATGTGTCGTCTTGTAATCAAAGTCCCGTATCTGACGAACGACGAGTTTGGGAGTCGATGGATACTCGGAGGTGGCTGACCCCATATGTCCTTGGAGGTGGAGTCCTGATATTAATGTCCCGTATCGGCTTCATTGTTGCTTGCTTAACAAGAAAAGGAGGACATTTGAAGTAGCCGCTCGAGGGAGGTGAGGAGAGGCGCACCGTTTCTTCTCGTCGGACGAACCGTCGACGTTAGAGTCAAGAATGGGGATCTTTGGCTCTGTTGAGTTGGTAGGAGCGGGGGTGCAGTGGTCGGGGTCGCTTGGTGATACTCATGATGAAATAGTACAGCTTGCCCTTGATTGCTGTCGAGGCGGTAAAGAGATGTCGAATTGGTGAGTTTACAGACCACTACATCAGTCACTGAGAGTTCTGGTTGCTGCATGGCCTCTTCAGGGCTGGTCCAGTGAGGACACTATGGAGTGGGCTTTGGAAGTAATGGGCGGAGTCGTCTGGAGGCAATGAATCAAGGCTATGGGACGTTTTTCCAGAGGGGGTAGTTCTGCTCCGCGTACCCTGAGAGCCCGACTGAGTAATAGACGGGTTGATGAGCATCTTCTCTGAGGAAAGCTGCACTGACTGCGGTTCCGTACTGCTAGGTTAGAGGAAGAGGGGTTTGCTGTGATAGCTTGGGAGAGAAGGGGGGTTGGCATGCTTGCTTTAAACTGTTGATAGGCCTCTTCGGATTCAGTGTCCATTCAAGTTGCGCGAAGGACTTTGAAGAAGGGCAGCACTTATCTGTCGCACGGGAGATGAAGCGGTTAAGGGCTGCCACTCGGCCGGTGAGTCTCTGAACCTCTTTGACCGTCCTAGGCGACTGCATCTCAACCAAGGCCTTGATCTTCTCAGGGTTAGCTTCGATGCCGCGTTGGCTGACCATAAAACCCAAAAATTTGCCAGATCCTACGCCGAACGCGCATTTCTCTGGGTTGAGCTTCATCTGGTACTTACGCAGGGTGGTGAAGGTTTCCCGTAAATCGGTGAGGTGGTCGGAGGAGTATTTGCTTTTGACTAGCATGTCGTCGACGTAGACTTCCATATTCCGGCCTATTTGGTGATGGAAGATGGTGTTAACCAGCCGCTGATAAGTGGCCCCAGCATTCTTCAGTCCGAATGGCATTACACAGTAGTGGTAGGTACCTCGGTTGGTAATAAATGATGTGTGCTCCTGGTCAGATGTGTGCATCAGGATTTGGTTGTACCCAGAGAAGGCATCCATGAAGCTGAGCATTTGATGACCGGCTGTGGCGTCGACCAGCAGATCTATGCGGGGAAGGGGGTAGCTGTCTTTGGGACAAGCTCGGTTCAGATCAGAGTAGTCGACACAGAGCCGCCATTTGCCATTGTGTTTTCGGACGAGGACCACATTGGACAACCACCTAGGATAGTCCACATTTTTGATGAATTGGACCTCGAGGAGTTTGTCAACTTCGGCGGCTATAAGGGTGTTGCACTTCGGATGGAAAATGCGTTGCTTCTGGCGGTGGGGTCGAAAGTGGGGTTCGATGATGAGGCGATGGGTTATGAAGGAGGGGTCGATGCCTGGCATGTCAGAATGGGTCCAGGCGAATACATCTCTGTGCTCGGTTAAGAGAGCAGTGAGGTCGGCCTTGGCTTGGGCGGGTAATTGACTGCCGATCTTGGCGGTTCTGATTGGGTTGGTGGGATCGATGTTGACTTCAACAAGTTCCTCTACAGGTTCACCTCTGACCAGCTCGTCCTCGTCTCGGACGTCAAGCCCTTCGATGATCATGGCCTCTTTTAGCTTGACTTCTTTGAGTGAGGCGACATAACACTCCCTGGCCACGGTTTGTTCTCCTTTGACAGTTCCGACACCGAGATCGGTAGGAAATTTCATGGCCAGATGATATGTGGATGTGATGGCTTAGAAGGCATTTAGGGCTGTGCGGCCAAGGATAATGTTGTAAGCGGAGGGGCAGTCGACCACAAGGAAGGTGAGCAACTTAGTGGTCTGCCGCGGGTGCTCGCCGATGGTGATAGGCAGATCGATGGAGCCGATGGAGGTCACTCGGTGGCCGGTGAAGCCGACCAGAGGGGTTTGGAGAGGGGACAAGCTCTTCTCCCCGATCTTGAGTTGGCGGAAGCAATTGAGGAAGATGATGTCTGAAGAGCTGCCGTTGTCTATGAGGACTCGTCTGACCTTATAGTTAGAGAGGATGGCGGAAATGACAAGGGGGTCATCATGTGGGTAACGGACTCCTGCACAGTCGGTGTCGGTGAAGGTGATGGGTTCGATCCATTGTTTTGACTGTTTGGGAGGTCGGTCCACCGTCGCCACTGCTTTGTCTGAGCCTTGCCTGATTTTTCTGAGTTCTGTCTTCTGAGCCGAGCGGGATGGCCCCCCGCAAGCAAGGCCCCCCGAAATGACTCTGATTTCTCCGACTGGTGGAGGGGGATTGCCCGGAGGCCGAGGCTGTGGTGGCGGGCGATCGTGGCCTTCGTTTGGTGGGGCTTGATTGCGGGGTGGTGTGCGTCGGCGATTGTTCCTGGGAAGGTCAGTTCTTTGCCTCTGTGGGGG